GGCCTTTGAGCAGCACTGTTTGTGGGCAGTGGGAGTAGACGGTCGTGGGACCAGAAGGAGGGATGGACAGCAAAGAGCGAAACAGAAAAGAGACGACTGCTGGACAGTTACCTGACAGAAAGGGAGAAGTCACCCTTGTTCTTCCGACTAGGCCGAGCCAAAAAACTGCCATGAACACCCCGTGCTTTGAGCAAGGCCTCAGCATCTATGCCACTCAGGTCACGGTGGAACCACCTGCTTGGAGTGGAGAGGAGCAAAAGGGAGGAAATTAGGAGAGCTGGGGAAGGGGAGAGAGGGATGAACAGTCTTTCACGAGAACGAGTCCCTCGGGACGCCACCCCACACCCAGGAGAGTCTGAAAGCACATCAAGTTCTTCCTGTACTCCGTCTTCTCAGCCAATGCTCCCTCTAAGCTGTGGAGTCTTGTGAGCAAAAATTCTACTTTGCGAGCTACTGGCATTAAAGTTGTGAGCGAGCGAGCGATTTGGCTGCTGCATCAATTAGTTTGCTCCGGAGCCCTCCTCCCTGAGCTGAGACAAAAATGTGTGAGCCGGAGGCTAAGAAACTGCGAACTAGCTCACACTAACTCAGCTTAGAGGGAACACTGCTTCCCACTCTGTAAGTCCAGCTGAGCTCTGGTTCGGACACATGTCTCTGAATGCAGGCTCAAGTGGCAAACAGCATGTGCGAACGAACCAGCAACAATCAAACCCTTGGCAAAGGGAACCCTCGAGTCACTTTTGACGCAATAATTCCTGATCGAGCCTGTTCACACATTCAGCTGCCAGTCACAAATCGCTGAGTAATCCAATGACGTTCACATGGGGTGGGGGGAGGCATTGCAGCCTTCTTCTCTGACCTGCACTTTCTGGCCTTAGAGAGCAACTTAATGCATGCAGATTTCAGCAGTGGGAAGCTTCTCCCGTGGTGGGAAAGACCTCCCCTTCTAAATGTCTATGGGCTGAGCAATGCTCCCTCTAAGCTGTCGAGTCTTGTGAGCAACAATCCTCCTTGGTGAGCTCCTGGCATTAAAGTTGTGAGCGAGCGATTGGGCTGCTGCCTAAATGAGTTTGCTGTGGAGCCATCCTCCCTGAGCGAAGACAAAATCTGTGTGAGCCGGAGGCTAAAAAACTGTGAGCTCGCTCACACTCACTCAGCTTAGAGGGAACACTGAGCGGCTGTGGGGGGGGGAACCCAGGAGCCCGTTCAGTAAACAAGGTGCTCAATCCAGACATGTGGGGAGCGAACCTCAGGCAACGAGCTATCGGCTGGAGCCACCCAACTCATCAGTCTCCACCCCGCAGGCCATATCCACACAGCCAGACGTGACTAACAGAACGGTTCCCCCTCCAGCCCTGAAGCCATCGCCTGTATGACGTCCTTCCCAACTCTAGTCTCTGTAGGACACCTCTCAAAAGATGGGGGCAGAGAGGGGCAGCCGGGCACCCCACAGCTTTCTCCTTACCTCATGATTCCCAGGGGGCGGTAGGCAGAGTCAGAAGAACACTCAAGGCCAACTGGAGGAGCTCCCTTTTCAGATCCAGGAGAAGTGAGCGCCTAATTGTCTCGAGTGAGTCTTCCTGGCTCCTAAGCGTTCCTTCCGTGCCCGTGTCCCTCTGCCACGCGCATCTCCTCTGCTGCTCTGAGTCCCGTGGCCTATTCCACTGTCCGTCCACGGCGGTGGGTATGGGACAGGCCGCCAGAACGGAGGCAGAGGCACCGTGCAGAAGAGCTGCCTACTATTACAGGAACAGGAAGCCTCTTCTAACTTATCGCCCGTCTCCGTCGCAAACAAGCTGCGTGGCAGGCACTTCTTCTTCTCCTTTCGTCTCTTTCTCCTCCCGAGACTGTCCCCCTCCCCTCCCCTTCCACCCTTATTTCTTGATCTGGTGTTTGCTTGTTTTTTAATCTCACATTTATGGCCACGGGAGTCTGACAAACACGGCACGATTCACCTGTGGAGAAGCTGCTCGCCAACCACAAGAGCCACTGAACTCCAAAGGCGTGATGAATTCTAAAGACCCCTCGCCGGACCTGAACTTCCTGCACCGGGGGTCCCCGGCCTTGTTAAGCCATTGGTCACTTTGGGAATTCTGTGAACCCATATTGGGTGCCAGCCAGGGCTATTTTTGGGCTGGAACGCACAGGAACGGAGTTCCGGCTGGCTCCTAAGTTGGCCACACCCAGCAGGAACTCATTAGCATAATAGGCCACACCCAACAGCAGAAACTCATTAGGATTGGCTACATTAGGGGTGTGTGGCCTAACATGCAAAGGAGTCCCTGCTACAAAAAAAAGGCCCTGGGTTTTGACAACAAACAAGGTCAACAGAATAAGAAGCAAAAGGTGGGTGTGGCTGGATGACCACACTTCTGGTAACATAGGGGTGTGGCCTAATATGCTAATGAGCGGTGCTGTCAGGGTGTGGCCTAATATGCTAATGAGTTCCTGCTGTTGGGTGTGGCCTATTATGCTAATGAGTTCCTGCTGGGCTTTTTCTACAAAAAATGCCCTGGGTGCCACTCATGTTGCCGGCCTCCAGGGGGGACTCCCAGAATTACAACTGATTCCCAAACTGCAGAGATGAGTTCCCCCTGGAGAAAATGGCTGCTTTGGAGGGTGGACTCTATGGCAGCAGGACACCCCGCTGAGGTCCCTCGCCTCCCCAAACTCTGCCCTGCTCAGGCTCCACCCCCAAATCTCCAGGAATTTCCCGAGCTGGCAAGCCTAGGTGCAAAAGCAGCGGAACCCCAAAGGGATGATGAAGTCAAAAGACCCACCATCTGCCCTGACCTGGATAGCCCAGGCAAGCCCAATCTCATCAGATCTTGGAAGCTAAGCAGGGTCGACCCTGGCAAGTCCTTGGAGAGGAGGCCTCCTTGGAATGCCAGCAGTCGGGAGGTGGGGGCAGGCTTTACTCAGCCACCTCTCTGAATATTCTGCAGCACACCTGTAGGAGTCAGCCACCAGAGGTCACACACACACGCACACATGAAAAATACAAAAAAAAGACCCACCATCAGGGCTCATTTCCTGCAGGAGCGCACAGGAGTGGAGCTCCGGCAGTAAAGAGCCTAGAGGGCGGGCACATGCAACAAGCCCCACCCCCTGCTCCCAGCAGCCCTCAGTCAGAGCAAGAAGCAGCCAGGTAAGTTGCAGAGGGCCCCCCGGTCCAGTCCAAAGGGGTCACCTTTAAGTCCAAGTTTTATTCAGGTACAAGCGCTCCCTCCTCTGCAAGGACAGATCTGCACATCCCCCACCCCCCAATAGTTAGCAATCCAAAACAGTCCAGTGGAGCCTGAGCGGTGGGTGTTGCCTTCTGACACACTTCCGGTGATGTCAGGGGGTGTGGCATATGCAAATAAGTTATGCTAATGAGTTGTGCTAATGAGCTCCTGCACCTCTTTTTCTACGAAATGAGCCCTGCCCACCATCAAACCTGATGTTTCTATAGCAGGGGTTCCCAACCTCATTGAACCACTTTGGGAATTCTGAGAATAGCTACAGGAAGCCGCAACAGGGTCCAATCACAGTATGTTGGGCGGTTTCACAACGGAGGCAGCTGTCTCCAGATCAGTGCTCC